GTCTGTCAAACCAATTTACGAAGTTGTTTCAGTATGTTTTCACTGCCTCTTTATCTTGGCAATAATATTGAAAAATAATCAGTTTACATCGGATACACCCAAGGACAGCACATTGATATCCCAAGAATGTCCCTCGGTTTAAATTCTTCACAAAAGGCAGTTAGAATTTGAGTCGGATTTTTCCGTTAAAACCTGAACGGCTCCTAAAATATAACTCAGACCATAATTCGCCCATGTAATGCCTCTGGATTCAGAACGTTTTTGAAGATTTTTTTCAACTTTTTCGAAACGACTCGCCTCATAAAAATTTCCCGACCAATCACGATAAAATCGATCGGGTTACTTTTAAATGTTGGAAAAGTTTAAGAATAAATTTATTTAAAATAAATATTTTTGTAGTCAGTAATTAAAATTGGACGATTTGATGATGCTTTTTGAACTGGGATGTAATTAGGCCAAAACCAGCTGTGGTATGACTTGATCTCACGTGACAGGGTGACAGGAGAAACATAGGCCACTTAGGAGTTATATTGATTATAGAATGATAAACCTCGTTTTATAATTCTAAAACGGTTTTAATAAGAAATGCTCATGCTCATGAGATTTCTGTTTTAGGTATACACAGTGTGTCAAATAACTGTAACTCATGAAAAATAGGCTTCAGTCATGTAACTAAATACGAAAAGCTCATTTTTGACTAGAAAATAATGGTGATTGGTTTTTTGCAAATATAATAACGTTTACAATTAGAAAAAGTTTTCAAGCTAAAATAAACGTGGGTCTACACATTATAGTTAAATTCATCTCTCTGCCTATTAATCCCCCCCCCTCTCTCTCTCTGGCTCTTCCTCTCCTGACGCTTTCTCTCTTCTCTCTCACTTTTTCTTGCTCTCCCTCTCTTACACTTTCTCTCTCTCGACTATCTTCATCTCTTCTCTGGCTCTCTTTTTCTACTCTCTTGCTCCCGGTGTCACTACTGTTGTCTTCTTTCGGGGCTGGGTGTCCTGTAAGGAGAGATTTGTATCACTGATAATACAGCTCTCAGGTTTATTGAGGGATGCTGTATGTAAGGTGTATATTCATTGATTTTACAATCTTTTAAATTTTCCCACTCAGTTTTTTTCTAAGATGAAGGTTATTAATTCTTACTAGGTCTACCAAACTTTTCGTAAGAATCAAGCACTTGTTGTCTTACTTTCTTCTGTCAACCTTTGGCGGGGCCATGTTCACATTAAAAAATTTAAACTTTAACCTAAATCTTGAAATTAAGACAATATCGGCAATAGAAAAAGATTACATCGTTTACAGCTCAAAAAAAAAAATCGAAAAATTAATATGGTCTGTCCCCTACTCAGAGGTTTTCTGTGATGCCACAGATTATTGGATACGATTCTTGTCCTTTATTTAGTCCCCCCTAAGTCTCGTATGTCCCGTGAACAGAGGAGTTCTTTATCTGACCTTACACTTTATATGTGTTTAAATTCGTCCGAGCTTTTTTGAACTTGGCCAACATAAAGAAAACCAAATTGAAAGAAAACGTTGTTACGTGAAAAAGGCTTTCTACAAAGATGACGTAACCCGAACGTTTTATGCGAGGAAGTAAGCCAAGTATACTCGTGAGACTAGTTATATGATTGCCTTTTCTTTTTACTATCGAAATATGGATTAAGAGGATTTTTCGTCTTATTTCCCTTGTACTTGTACTCCGTTAAGAACAGATATTTCAAAAAAGACATACAAATTTATTTTGCAAAGTGGTTTTCTTTAAACTAACCGACAATTTTCTCTCTGGAAATGTTCGGGTATATATAAGTCGGTTTTTTAGATCTTTATCTCAATATGAATATATGTCATTGTCGATTACCTGAGTATGGTAAGATTTGTGTTGTAAAAACCGGGTTGAACGGAGTCAAAAGAGAGGTCTGGAGCCCAATTTAAGGATTACTAGTCTAGATCCTCCGTCTACACTCTAATTAACTCGACTCCCTCTACTTATCTCGGAAAGCAGAGGCTAATTATATACAGGTCCATATTGAGACCACTATTTCCCTTCGACCACCTTGATCTTTCTCTTACACACACGCATACGCGCTCGCAAGCCCGTAAGGAGATTGAGGAAAAGTTACGAGTACACACGGGAACTTTTTCCTCACCGCAGGTTTGAAAAAAAACAACATTTGATTCGCATTTTCCCAATCTAAGCGGATTACTTACACCTGCTCAATATTTTCTCCACGTCGTAACCGACTATTTAGTCCTTTTTCCATTCCATCCTACAACGGATAATATGAGGCAACATAAATTAGGAAAACACGTTGCTTGTCCGCCCTGCCCACGAGGTACAAACTATCCCTTATAACTCTCACAGATTAAGCAAAAGTGTATCGAATAGTTCGTCATCCCTAAACATAATTTAAGCAATTTCTTATAATGACTTTATTACGTCAAATTAAATCTTTTTAATTCTAATTAAACCTTTCTGAATTGCAAATTAACCGTTTCTTGAAAACAATAAAAAAACTTAGGAGATGGTATTTGGGCTCTTAGAATACGATATAACAATTAATGACAAATAAAATTAAAAAGAAGATTAAATTAATGTTGTTTAAAATTTCAAATGAACCTTTTTCGTTTAAAATTAACGCTTTTAACTTCAAATTAACCCACCCCCAGTGGAGCGGCGAGTCACAATAAAATGCGGAGAGTGGACACGCACAAAACGGTCCCGAATAAATAATGTAGAGTGAATTTAACTCGTAAACAATATACATATATATATATCCTTTTAAAAAGGTAGCGGAACCTCCTCGACAAGGTGTGTAGCGAAGAAAAAAGAAGAAGAACCATATTCTCCTGAGTTTTTGGTGGTGGGATGTTGCTGCAGGTCTTCTCAAAGGGGCAAACGGTGTGAGGCCATCTTCCCAAAACGATTACGAATCGTTGGTGTTGATAAAAATCAAAATATCTTCTACTTCATTTAGGATCTGGTGGGCACTATGCAAAGGGTTTCGTCTTGCAGCAATGACAATATTTCTGCTCTCCCTTTGCATCGTAATGCGCTGAGATCCACCCACCAAGCCTCCTATGTGTGCCACTAACGTCTCTCAGGATCGGGCTAAAGCCCAGGTGACCACGCTCTGGGAAACGCCAACTTCCTATGCGATATCCACTATAGTTGACCTCCTGCCATATTGTCACAATAATATTGCGAACTTCTGGTTCAAGACAATGTCTTTCGATGGTCAAAGAGAATAGAACTGGATTAAAAAGGACAAAAGACGAAAAAAGGTGTTTGTTTACAAAACGAGTAATCTTTATGTTTACTATTCTTAAGTAATCCGTTATTAAAAATGAGTTTTAACATGTTTTCTTTTGATTTGTATTTTCTATGTATATAAATATATATATTGTAGTTGTTTGATGATTTAGCTTCATTGTTTCTTGAATAAATACGAGACGGTTTTGTACCGAATATTGAAATACTACAGGTTCTTAAAATTACCTAGGTTCTTTACTTTAAAGTTCAAACAGTAACAATATTTTCCAATTTTCTATATTCGAAAGGATCAATAATTTTATTGACTATGATCAAAGTTATAAATAGCGTGGATTTCTCTACACGCTATCATGATTGGATCTGACAACAAAGTGAGACGAATACTCGACGGACGGACATTGATACGATCAACCGACATTGGTTCATCACTACGCCGACCGTCTGTTAGCTCTCTATGATTCGAACATCGGTTCTTACACATTTTTACTAACTCTAATCGATTTCGTGCTCTTTTAATTAAAACAGGTAAGACCGAAGGCCGAAACCGACGGACAAAAAAAGGTTTTAACAAACCTCAACTGTTTCCCGAGATATTTATTGACGAGGAATCCTTTTAAGACTATAATAATTAATACAAATGTTTATATATAAAAGTACAATAAATAGATAAGTACAAAAATAAAACATGAGGTATGTACGGGAAAGGGCGACCCAACTCAATTGAGGGTATGGTATGNGCGATATTTTACTTTTTGCTACTGTATGTTGCAGGGGAGGACTCCAGGTTAGTTTCTTGTCAAAGATTATTCCTAGATATTTGACCTCATTTTTTAAACGCAGCATTTCATTATAGAAGCGTAATCCTTGTATTTCTATATTTCTTTTCTTGGTGAATTGAGGGTATATAATCCTTGTATATTCTATACTTCTTAAGAATTCGCTAAATGTCACTTTACCAGATTGTAGTTCATCAACACCCCAAATGTAATGAAGAATGGGAAATTTCAATTCTTACAATGGATAAACACTTACCAGCCCACAATCCTTTTAAATCAATTACAAGCCAATCAATGTATGCGTTTAAATAAATAACAATAAGGCGATGTTTGAAATTAACAAATTAAAATTATGTAAAATTTTGTACAAAGAAAATATGTATAAACTAAAAATGTTCCAGATATGCTAAATTAAACAGAACTTACAATTAAGTGTTAAACTAAAGTAAACTAGCTTTACTATTTTAATTTAAAAAAAACAAACATAAATTGTCTAAAAAATTCACTGGGTGACGCCAGTGAGTGGAGCTGAGAGTCACAACAAAATGCGGAAAGTATACACGCACAAAACGGCCCCGAATAAATAATGTAGAGCGTATTTAACTTGTAAAAAAATAAAAGTCCTTTTAAACGACAACGTAGCGTACAATAAATAATCTGCCTGAACATGCTATTATACATATATCATTCATTTGATATCTAGTGGACTGAAGGGTTCTAAGAAATTGGTGGCAGGTGATTGCATGTTTGATATTTCATCCTTCTATGCTTTCATACTTTTGTTATTTATGTCTAATTGCAGCTTTTACAAAGAAATTAAACGTAACTTGCAAGATTACTTTATTCAACAATGATAATCCTTATGATCCGTGCAGGGCGGACATATTACCAAATGTGGAACATGTTTTTAAACAATTCAATAATATTTTTATTTTTTTGTTGTTAAGGTGCCGTCCAGGATGGAGAGGAGAATTGTGCACCCAGTGCGCCCCCTACCCGGGCTGCAAGCACGGCTACTGCAACGGTTCGTCCTGGCAGTGTATCTGCGATACCAACTGGGGTGGAATTCTTTGCGACCAAGGTAGACTGACAACACATTTTTTACTTCCCGAATTATCTAGTTTAATCTTGTTTGTCGGTAAAATTGTACTTTAACAATCCGTGCACATCTTGTGTCAGAAATTTTTGTAAACTTTTAACTTTGGCAACGATGTACAGCACAAAAATTGTGCCATTTTTCTCATGTTGCTTAATAATGAACCCGTAATTAATAGTTACAATGGGTTCACTTGTAAAAAACATTTACGCTTTAATTTAACAAACAGTTTAAGCTTGCTCTTGTTTTCTTTTTCCAAATATTTGCCTGGCCTGGTTTGCTGGGATGCTGTGTAAACTTAAAGTCATCATCTCCACCACCTCATGCTAATGTCCTACGTACGTAACTTCTGGGTATGTTCTTCCATCCTGCCCGAACAGGAGTTCCTAAAAGTGATATCGTAGGTCCTATCGTTGGTCCTATCATTTACGTAATATACTCTTGACATCCCTAATCATCTACTTCTCTCCCTTTCATAATTGTAGACGTTATTGCCTACTTCTTTGAAAAGAAGCATTGCCGAGCTGTCTTTCTCAACAAACTATTTGAAACTCTTAATTCCTTCCTTTCGTTACTTGAGAGTATGGTTCTTTCATCCTGTCCGGTCAGGAGTCCCCCACGTGATATCCTTGTTCCTAACCTTTACAAAATATATTGCTGACATCCTTTAACATCCCAATACTTCCTTCAACTCTACAATTGTAGACGTTATCGCCTCCTTCTTCGAAAAGAAGCACAACTTGGCTGTATTTCTCGAATCGTATTGCGGAATTATTCGATCGGGTCTTGCATGCTAGAATGCTGTGTTATCCAATCATGTCCACTAACTACCTCATGGTATAGTTACTTAAACTTGCGTATGGTTCTTTCATCCTTTCGGGTAGGTGTCCTCCCGCCAGTGTGATATCCTTGGTCCTATCCTTTACTTAATATACTGCTGACATCCCTAACCATCGTAATACTTCTTTCTACCTTAAATTTGTCGACGTTATCGCCTGCTACCTTGTTTAAGAATATGCTCTCTGATTTACTGAATTATAGAACCTCACCCCTAGCGAAGTGCTTACCCCGATCGTTTAGAGAAAAGCAAGCGAATATAGAGAGATTGTTCGACCTTCGCGTCGCATCGGCGCTTACACGGTATGGAATTTTGGTTCAGCCAAAGCAGCCAACATTTTTAGATTCATATCCTTTCTGTCCAAAACCATCCGTTTTATATGTTCAATCTTGTTTTTTAACATGACCTCAACATCCCTTACCCCATGCCATAAAGGCCGGATATAATTCCTTTTTTCACGCACTGGTCGTCCCTAACTTTTAGTAACTCAGCGTTCCTCAATCTCATTTCCAAATAGTTCTGGATGACTGAAACGTAAGATTTAAAGTTAAAAGGAATCTCTTTACCACCTTTCGTACGGAGACCAGTATTGGTCTATTTTGCAAATCTCATTATCAAGAGGTATTCGTTAAACTTAAGGCTTTTTACCACCAGATCCCAAAGCTTTTAGGCCTTCGCACCAACAGGAAACACACCGTCTTCCTTTTTTGCCTCTGGAGTCATCAGTATTCAGTAAGAAGTCCTATAATTTTAGTCTATACACCTCCTTGGTTCAGTAGATCTGCAGTTGGTTTCTGCGATGGTCCTTTGTTCGTTTTGTACTAGTCGTGTAAACTATAATTGTATAAATAAATAAAACAATAAAATAGAGAAAAAATACGTGGTAGAAAAAGCATTAATTTTGAAGGCTTGAAAATGTTTTCAGCATCATTCCCTACCACTTGATTAAAAGTATAAATAAAGCTTATATTTAAAAGTGTCAGTACACAGTTATAACAATAATGAAATTATTACGACCAGGGAAGGCGGTATAATTGGAATCGGAAATTCCGAAAAGCCGAGTAAGACACTACATTTTGGAAAACTAATAAAAACGGGTATTAAGGTGGGATTCAGTTTTTTCTTTTTCGTTTCACCGTTTTATTACGGGGGATAGCGGCTATTAGTCAAGGAGTGGATAATTGGTTTGAGAATTCCAATGATTTGTTTTCCGTGAGGAGGAGGGCAGTAATCATAGAACGTTGTTAACGCATTCCCTTCTGTTCCTATCTACCAATCTAGAACGGAAATACTTCTGCACAGCAAGGAGATACCTTCTGACTGTTGGAATCATTTCAGAATTAACTTTTATTCTTCTCTACAAGACGTAATTATATATAAAAGTAGGAAGGGCTTCGTCAACCACTTAATACATATATAGTCTTTACCATGGATTATTGGATTACAAACAGCTTCGTATAAGGACTAGAAAGAATAATAGTTTTGTATCGTTTCGATTATCTGGATAGTTGTTACTTATAGATAGTAAAAAGAGTAATATACATGGTGTCAATTTTCTAGTTTACCACGTGTTTTTCTCAAAAACTATACAACCTAGAATAAGGAATGTAAGTAAACATTTTTTTTAACTTTATCTTTTCTAGGCTGTTCTCTGATACAAACAGTATAATAAAAGTAATTAAATAAAAAAGATCTGGCTGGAAGGTTAACCATCCCTGACCTACCTTGCCTATTCTCGCTGGGATGGTCTCTCGAACACAAATTCATCTTGATCATTCGTCTGCGTCGTTTGATAACTTTTGTCGTTTTATAAGTTTGTAGAACCTGCAGTAGAGCTGTAGACACTGCCAATTAGTGAAATCCGCACTAAAATTGCCTACATGTTGTTTAGCTGGTTCATTTCCTATCTTCTTTTTATATTCTCCCTCCGATGGTTGTTCATCAAAAAGTCACAAAAATCAAAATACGCTTTCAGTAATACAGGCCAAAAATTTCTTTTTGCAAAAACAACTTCGGATTCGTTTTATCATCCTTTGCAACCCCTTAAACACGAATTTTTATAGCCAAGAAAAGATAGACATTTTTGGGCTTGATCAGGCGGAGCCATTTTTTCTCTGATGATCTCCTTTCTTTCATTTAAAAAATTCATAACTCCTCTGGATTTTATCCCAATTCAACGTATTTACTACCGTTAAAAATCCAAATATTTCTACTTTTCGACTGTTTTAAAATATTTATCTTTTTTATTACTATAAGTGAAAAAAATAAGTATGAAATCATAAATATCTTCTCAATCGTTTTATTTTATACCTCCAGTTCTAATTTTCTATTTATTTATATTCTAGTTTTTGTATTCCAAGGTTAGTAAATATATGTCGATTTATTATTTTACTTAGGATAAGTAAATTTAAATTTTATGCAGGGTCGTAATAAATGTGTTTGGATATATAAAAAGCCACAAAAAGTCAAAATACGTTAAGAAGGCCAAAAAATTTCTTTATGCAAAAACCAATTTGGATTCTTTTTAGGCGCCCTTTAAAAGCCCTTAAATACGATTTTTTATCGCTAATAAAAAATGGGACATTTTTGGGCTTGAACTTCAGGAGCAGTTTTTTTTCTGATGATCTCCTTTCTTTCATTTAAAAAATTCATAACCTCTCTGGATTTTATCACCTCTATGATTTTACAACTACTGGAAAGCTTTCTACTATTACCTTATATCAACAGTGTTTACCTTTTATGTTATTGGATTAAGAAAAATATGTATGAACTCAACAATTAAATTCCTGGAACGGTTTATTTTATGCCTCCTATTCTATTTTTTCACTAGGACCATGGCGCTTCTGGTTGAAATCGACAAATGATTTGGGCGTATGAGTCTTGCTATATGATACTAGTTTCAGTACTGTCCGTTCCAACAAGAGCAGAGGGCACTGATGATTTAAGGACGACCACAAAAATGTCGTAAGGAGCCAAAAGAAACAAAGAGTGGATCGATGGATAATTAATTGTACCCTTACCTTCCAGGTTTCTCCTTTACAAGACCCTCAAATGCTGGAAAAATAGGAGAAAAAATTGTGAAATATACGAAACAGCAAAAAAAGAAATTATCTTATTTTTTATGATTGCGAGGGTATTTGTTTAATACTATTTAGACTTACAAATCTGACTCTTCTTCGGCTGTTTATGACTGGAATTTAATCATAAACTTATAATATCTTCACAAGAACAATGCTTTTTTTTTTTAAATTTTTCAATCCCTGCGTTGATTGAGTTGACTGAAAAAAGACTACGGTTTTTCAAAACAATGTGCATAAATGGGCCCATTAGTCTTTTAGTAATTAATATGCAGTAATTTATTCAAAAATTAAGTCGGCTACGTCTACGAGTGGATAGTAATTTTACGTTATAAAGAAACGATTTCTATAATTAATACCTTATTCTGGTTTTTTCTCTATTTTATGACGAGGAGGAACGTAATTTGGGAAAATTCTTTCAGTCTACTTTGTGTTAACTACCTTTTTTAAAGATCTTAAACGGGTTACGTGCAATATCTTTTATAAAATTTATTTAAAAAAATGATTATTTAGTTCTTTAAAATTGATTATCTTAGGTTAAAATTATGGAATAATAAATGATCTGAAATTGTCGTGTCCGAACGTTTCTGATTCCTAAGTAGTAAAACCAATAATTTAAATATATTTTAAAAAATAAGGTTTTCCACCTTTATTACATGTACTTAAAGATTATTATATATAAGTCAATTTTTGACGAAAAATATAAAAAAAATATACAGGAACATTTTGAATGAGACTGGATATATAAACATTTACAAAAATCAAAAGACGCTATCAGTAACGTATGCCAAAAAATTCTTTTTGAAGAAAGCAATTCGGATTAGTTTTAAGAACCGTTTAGATCCTTAAAATACGAAATTTTATATCAACCAAAACATGCAGTTTAGGCTGTTTTTGGTTAGACAATTTTTTTTCTCACATGTCCGGTGTTCCAATTCCTAACTGCCACCAACTAAAGCGGAATGTTTTTCTTTTCAGCCTGTGCGAACAAGCCAACAACACAAATTCAACAAACACATTATTAATAATTAAATTTTTTGATTTTGCCAAAAGTTTGTTTTTTTAAGACA